TGCTGAGAACAGACTACCAGAATAGCTCATCTCAGATCATCTCTGAAAGGACAAAGGGCTAGTAAACTCAGACTAAAGCAAACATAAGACAAAATTAAGGGCTGGAGAGATGGCTCAGTGATTAAGAGCACTGGCTGCTCTTGCAGAAGACCCAGGGTTCAATCCCAGCACCCGCATGGCAGTTAACAACTATCTGTAACTCCAGTTCCAGGGGATCCAATACCCTCTCTTCTGGCCTCTATGGGCATTTCACGATATGGGTGTACCTACCTACATGCAAGCAATACATTCATACACATAAAATAAAAAAATAAAAAAGACAAAATTAAAAGGTAGTAAACATTAAAAGCCAAAAGGTAAGTTGTCTGTGGCAGTGCAGACCTTTGATCCCAGCCCGGGAGGCGGAGGTAGATGGATCTCAGTGAATTCAAGGCAGGCTCAGCTGGGTCCACACAAAGAGTCAGGAGAGCTAGGGTTATAGAGTAAGACCCTGACTCAAAAACAAAAATACAAAACAAAACCACAAAAAGTAGACTTCAAGAAGCAAATATTTTCCTGAGATAAAATTTAAATAATTATAAATTAAAATACAACTAAAATAAAGCATCAGTCCACCAGTTACATTACCGACTCTGCAAGCAATCTGTAAAAACTTGGAATAAAGTTTTGGCCTGCCATCTAGTGTTAAGAACTGCACAAAGATATGCTTAGAATTTTTTTCTCCCCCTGGTCTGAACTAAATGAAATAAAATTTTAAAAATCATTTTTCCTTCAGTTTAATCAATTGCAATGTTACTTATGCCAAAGCAGTACTTTTTAGACAAATTTAAGGAAAGAGGCAAAAATAAACAGTGTCAATAAGAAATCTAGGAAGTTTTTAAGTACTGATTCTACTACTCACGTCAACAGTCACATTCTGGTATTCTGAGGGCATAGGAGTCTGTGCTACCTCGTTATCCAGCTGTCTCCAATACCGAGTCATATCCAAAGCAGAGTGCATACACAATGGACACCTATAGCCTCTGGAAGAAATATAAATGGGAAATAGATCAACTCAGATGTACAAGATGCAAGCTCAATGGCACATAAGTCACCCAAACAGGATATATTATTCTATACTTCAAGATAATCTAGGAACCTGAGCAACTACACACCATAAAAGCTTTATACTAAATTATGCATCTTATTTTTTTAATTTTTATTTTATGTGTATGAGTGTTTTTCCTCCATGTACATGTAAAGTGCACCTGTGCAAGCAATGCCTATGGAGGCCAGAAGAGGGCATCAAATCCCCCGAAACTGGAGTTATAGATGGTTGTTAGCTGCCCTGTGGGTGCTGGAAACCAAACCTAGGTCTCTCCAAGAGCAGTCAGTGCTCTTTAACTGCTGAGCCATCTCTCCAGCCCCAATGATACTTTTTCAACCCTAAATCTTTATCCTCAGCTCTCCAAAATGGAGAACTAGTCAATATTCTTTTTTCATTCCTAAAAACACCAATTAAACTATCCCTTAGCTAAACAACATCAATGTCTTAATGCATCAATGCAGAGAGATTGTATTCCTTCAAAACTATTCAGATCAGATTGTATCCTCTCTAAAATGTTTTCAAAAGTTCCTGTCTAGTATTTAAATTTTCTGTTTTATTTGTAGGGCCAAAATACATTTCTCTTCCTTTCTGTTTCTCATCTTATTTTAGTTCCCAGGTTTTTTTGGTTTGGTTTGGTTTGGTTTTGGTTTTTTGAGACAGGGTCTCCCTGTAGTACCAGCTGACCTAGAACTTGCTATGTAGATCAGACCAGCCTTGAACTCATAGAGATCCACCTGCCTCTGCCTCCTGAGCGCTAGGATTAAAGGCATGTGCCACCACATCTGGCTTTAGTTCCAGTTTTATAGAAAGTTTACCAGTTTACCAGCTGAACCAATTTATTGAGCTAAAAAAATTTGGGGCACTATTTCTCAATGTTTTTATAACAGCATGATTGTCTCTGATGTTCCCTAGTAAATATGGCTAGAAAACAAGACATTTTGTGTCAAGTTGTGGGAAGATAGGCATGTTAAGGACATGGAGATAGAGGTCCCATTCCCCAAGATGCCTTGGACAGTTAAACACTAGACCTCTATTACCTCAATATACCTATCTGCCATGCCTAATACAGGGCAAAGAGCAATCATGTTTGGCCATCTCCCTACCACCCTCCCCATACAAAAAAGACATCTTTGAGTCTGGAGAGATGGCTCAGCAGTTAAGAACACTGACTGCTCTTGCAGAAGACCCAGGTTCGAATCCCAGCACCCACATGGCAGCTAACAACTGTCTGTAACTCCAGTTCCAGGAGATCCAACAGCCTCTTCTGTCATCCTCTGGCATTGCATGACATGGGTGCACTTACCTACATGCAAGCAATACGGACATATACATAAAAAAAATAATAATAAATTAAAAAAAAAAACTGTAATTTTTTAAATCCCAAATACTTACTCTTTCAACATTTCTTCATAACACGTCCTGAAAGAAAATATAACATTATTTCAATGAAAGAAAAACTATCTCCACTATTTTCAAATATCTTTGAGGAGAAAAAGAGTTTTTACCTATGTAAAAGATGCCCACATGGCAAGACATGAGCAACAACACGGGATGTGTGAATGTCCTAAAAAGGAAAAAGGAAAAAATAGAAAGTGCTTCTATAAAGGCAATATAATAAACATATAAGTACTTTAAATTCAAGGGAGATTTCCAAAGTGAAAAATATATCACACTTACCTCCAAGCATATTGGACAATTCTGCCGGGAAACATTTTCAATACACTGTTTAAAGAAGAATCTCTTATTAACAAAAGCATCAACAGATAAAAATGTCAAATATAACCACATTAATAAATACCAACAATAAGATCAACTGACTAAAGGGGCTAGCAAGATGGCTCAGTGGGTAAAGGCACTTGTCACCAAGCCTGAGAACCTGAGTTCAGTCCCCAGAGCCCACATAGTAGGAGAGAACCAGCTCCCACAAGTTGTCCTCTCACTTCTACACATACACTGCAACACAGGTATACCTACATGCACAAAAAATAACGTTTTTTGAAAAATCTACTAACACCAAAAGTTAATACACTGTTTATCTACTAGAAAATGGTTTAACAGTTCTTTAATTTTCACAACAATGTCAAACTTGACATTATCTCCCTGTATCTATTATTGATTACAAAATGATCAATAAACCTTAACTATTCAGATTATCTTCTTTTTACAAATAAGAGAACTGAACTGGGAAATTAAGATACAAAGACAGTAAGATTTGGAGGCTTCCTGTCTGTTTTACCGCAAAGCCACTGCACAAAATAGCAGGGCAAACTAATTAACAACATTGGTAACAATAAGTGCTTATATTGAGATTTACTAATGCCATTGGTTAAGTACCTATGTAAACTCAATTTCTACAACTTTAGATGAAATAGGTTAATATTTCCTCTTATTCTGTGCTGGATAGCTTTAGTGTCAACTTGACACACCTGGGTTGAGGGAGCCTCAACTGGGGAATCGCCTCTATTGGACTGGTCTGTGGCCATGTCTGAGGGGCATCTTCTTGATGAGTGATGTGGGAGGGCCCAGCCCACTGTGGGTGGTGCCACCCCTGGGCAGGTGGGACTATGCTGTATAAGGAAGCAGGCTGAGCAGGGGCCAGGGGAGCAAGCCAGTAAGCAGCATTCCTCCATGGCCTGTGCTCCAGCTCCTGCCTCCGGGTTCCTGCCCTGAGTTCCTACCTTGGGCTCCCAGATGAACTGTGACCTGGGATATGTAAGCTAAATAAACCCTTTCCTCTCCAAGTTGGTAGTGGTCTGAGTATTTTGTCACAGAAATGAAGAACAAACCAAAACATATACACAAGATGAAGTCTAGAGAAGCTAAATAAGTTATAAAATAAGTTTACATCAGTAAAATATGGAATAAATATAAAGAGTTCTAGCATCCTGACTCTGGAACTTAGCATGGCAAGACACTAGATATAGGTAGAAAAAGGAAAGCACCAGGCCATGGTAATTCCTTGGTTAGAAGCCTAAATCCCTTATAAGACAATAAATGATAACTGAGAAATAACAAAACAATCATGAGAAAATATATATATATATATCATTATAAAAACAACAGAGTTTAATGCAAAAAAAAAATCCTAAAAAATAATCAATTTAAAAATCTGAATTATTGAGGGCTGGAGAGATGGCTCAGCAGTTAAGAGTACTGTCTGCTCTTGCAGAGGACCAGGGTTAAGCTGGGTGTGGTGGCACACACCTTTACTCCCAGCACTTGGGAGGTAACAGGCAGATCTCTGTGAGATTGAAGCCAGTCTGGTCTACATGGTGAGTTTCAGGTCAGCTAGAGACTACAGGGAGACCCTGTCTCAAAATAAAAAACAACTCAGGTTAGTTCCAGCACCCACATAGTGGCTAACAACCATCCGTATCCAAGGATCTGATATCCTCTTCTGATATTTGTGTACACATATATGCAGGCAATATATTCATACACATAAAACTTTTAATCTGAATTATGGAGAGATGGCTCAGCAGTCAAGAGTACTAACTGCTCTTGCAGAGGATCTCGGGTTCAATTCCCAACACCCACACAGCAATCAACAACCATTCATAACTCCAATTTCAGGGGTTCCAGCATCCTCTTCTGACTTCCACAGTCATTGCATGATACAGGTGCACTTACAGACATGCAGGCAATATACTCACACATAAAAATGATAAACTACAAAAATAAATAAAATCTGAATTATAATTCTAGCTCTGCCATTTATGAATTCTTAAGACTTTAGATAACTAGTAACCAACTCTTTTTTTTAGTTATTTTATTATTGTTATGTCTATGACTGTACTGCCTGCATGTAACTGCACCTGTGTCATGCAGCACCCGCAGGGGTCTGTCAGAGAACAGGTGGTGAGTTACCTGTCCTCTTGATCAAGGAGGCTATGGAGATCCCACTAGATGAACCTGAACCAGTGTCCAGTCTACAAAGAGGAGGGCCAACACAGAGGAAACATTTCCTCCATACTTCCAAGCAAAGCCAGCCATGATCGAGTAGGACCTTTGACTTATCTTCACATAGACGGAACTGGTAAAAGAAAGGAGCCAGGGGCTCCTCCCAAGCCCAGGTTACCCCTGAGGAACAGATCCTCAAACGACCTTAAGAGTAAAAATAAATTGGTTTATCTGGGCCAATTGTAGGGTCTTAAACACCCAAAAGGAATGTATAACCAAAGATTAATAGGGTCAATATAATTTTTTAAGAGTTCATATGTATAGCTAAAGGCTACATAACAAACAATGCCAGACAGGAGATACCTTCCTTTGAGTTATTGGCCAGGGTGGCCCAAAAGACTCCCAGACGGTAATCCAGCATAGAACTGGGAAAATGAACAGCAGACCCCAATCTTATCTAAAGGAATACTGACAACTGATTGCTGCTAGATGAGGAACAGGAACAGCTGACCTTCCTAAAACAAGGATCTCTAGATAGGCTGACTAGATTCAGCAGACAGACAAGCACTGGGGAATGGCTGGGGGTGCTGACAACACAGTAGACAGTAACAGGGATGACAGGGTATATGGGCTCCAGTGTGTGGGAGGGTGCCATTTGGGAAGTGGGTATATACATGAATAAGATTGTATGGGACAAATTTTTAAAAAAGACTAAAAAAAATATTGTAAAAGTAAAAAAAAAAATAAAATCCTAGCTCTGCCATTTATGAATTCTTAAGATAACTAGTCACCAATTCTTTTTTTTTTTTAGTTATTTTATTATTTTTTTGTGTATAAGTGTATTGCCTGCATGTAAGTGCACCTGTGTCATGCAGTACCCGCAGGGGTCAAAGAGGGTGTCAGATCCCCTGGAACTGGAGTTATGATAAGACAGGTGTTAGCCACCATGTGGGTGCTGAGAATCAAACCCAGGTCCTCTGCAAGAGCAGTCAGTGCTCTTAACTGCTGAGCCATCTCTCCAGCCCCAAAAGCCAAATTCTTTAGTCTTATTTTCCCTATTTATAAAATAAAGCTGATACATATTTCATTTAGTTCTCAAGTGCTTTCCATATACATTAAACTCACATACCTTAACATCTGTGTAAATACAATGTTTCTGACAATCAATGCCATTGCTGAGTGGATAAAATGCAAATGATGAGGATGCAATGAATTGGCTATGTGTATACGTACATGTGCATTCATTTACATACACAGATTCTATGTATGCTCTAAAACCAGAACAGAACCAGAGAAAAACAATCTATAAGACTACTGACTCCAGGCTATCTTCACTAGTCTATTTTTTTATTCTTTAATTTAATGACTTTATTTAATTGAGGTAAGGTCTTACTATGTTAATTCAGGTTAACCTTGAACTTCTATTCCTCCTGCCTCAGCCTGCCAAGTGCTCAGATTGCAGGCATGTGCCACCATCACCAGCTAGCTTACCTTGCTATCACCTCACACCTAGGTTTTTAAAGCCAGAGTTAATCTTAACAAATTCACAATTCTCTAATCAAGTTCCTTAAGCTAAGACTGAACATTTTTGGATTCATCTTTACTAAGCTTCATTCTTTTTTGTAATTATCAGTTATTTCCTAAAGTTCACTACTCATCTAAACTTTCATCACTGCTGTACTCTTTAGGTCAAGTCTTATCTAATATGTATTTCTACCAGAATCTTTTGTCTTTATCTTCTACTGGACCCAGTGCTAATTAAATTACTTCAAATATTCCTTCAAATCAATGTCTGTTCTCTTTCAATCACTCAGTATCCGTGTGTGTGTGTGTGTGTGTGTATGTGTACATGTATGTGTATGTGTGTACTCAGACACAATATTGTTACTAATCTCCTCACTGGAATTTCCTACACTTGTAAAATATTATTTATACTCCTCTTTGCCAATCCTCCATTCTTTAAATTCTTAGACAGAATCAGTACTACAAATATAATACTTCATCAGATTATTTTTAAATAATGAAAACAGAACCTGGGATTATGATAAAATCCTATACCCAGATTAAAAACAGCTACATATTCATTATGAAAATAAAGAATATTTTCTAAATATTCTTAGACTGCTGTGCAAATATCACTTAGTATTTTTCCTCTTTTAAAATTCATCTTAAAAGCAGTATCAATAAGAATCCCCAAACGAACTGAAAAGCTGTCAACATTAGGCTAGTAACTGCTACAGGCATTCTTATATTACAGAAAACAAAATGGGGATCACATGTTCTAAGGCATATATTTTAGACTATTTAATTCTGCTTTTTAAAAAAGGGATGAATATACCTGCAGTAGGTAATACATGAAAATTAGCATGTTTCCAAAACATTAGAATTTAAGCTGGTTTTCAAAAACACTAATATTTTTTAAATTATGCAAACTGAATCATGTACCTTATGTTTTCCTTGAAGATTCATAGCTAGGCATAAGTTACATTTCAAGCAATGGAAAAAATCTTCCTTTGGACCAATCCTAAAAAACATAATATAAAAGCTAGAAGACTGGATCGTTTTTATTATAGTGATAATCTGTTCACTATATAATACCTAAATTTAGTCCCACTGTAAAAAACTCAAACCACACTGAAGAACATGGAGTAAACTCCCAATTCTCCAATGTTCTTCTACAAATGTAAACACTGTAAACAGAATGATATTCACCACTTTCTCCTATAAAATTGCATAGAGAGAAAGAGAGAGAGAAGATAGAGAAGATATATACAGACACAGCTTTATTCCTTATATAAATTTCATATGCACTGTTCTGCAATTTATTTTCCACTTATCCTGAGGATAACACCTGTCCATACAAAATCATTCTTCTTAATAGCCATACAGTAGTAACACTGTATGGATGTATCATAATTTTTAAAAGTACTCCCTTATCAATATAATATGCAATCTTTAGTTGCTACAATAATAAAAGAAATCACTGTCGAGCAGGCACTTAGCCCACATTTAAATTATTTTTTACAAGATTCCTGTAGGTAACACTATTGAGTCAGAATCACTAATAGTGACACTATTGGATCACTAAGCTATTGGCAACCTGACATCCAAAGACTACCCACATTCTGCACAACTGGACAACATGGACTACATGTAGAATACACAAAATATGCAATTTTAATTTGCATTTCTCAAATTATGAAGGAACTTTTTAAAAAATATTTTATTTATATTTTATGTGTATGAGGGTATTGCCTGCATGTATGTGAGTGCACCCGTGTTGTGCAATGTTGTGGAGGTCTGAAGAGGGCTTTGGAGTCCCCTGGAACTGGAGTTAAGGATGGTTCATAGACACCATGTGGGTGCTGGGAATCGAACCCGGGTCCTCTACAAGAGCAGTTAGTGCTCTTAACTGCTGAGCCATCTCTCCAGCCCCAAAGGAATATTCTTTAGTGCTAATGAATTGCTCAGATTTCTGTGAATTTTTTGTTGATATGCTCTGCCCATTTTTTTTCTTGAATACCTATCTTTTACCAATCTAATAGAAGTCTTTATACAGCCTGGATATTCATCTTTTCTCTGGTCTGTCATCTCTCTGCTTATAGTTACTGTTAATTTCTATGTATTAAAAAGCCATCAAGGGCTGGAGAGATGGTTCAGCAGTTAAGAGCTCACACTGCTCTTGCAGAGGACACAGCACCCATGTCAGGCAGCATGTAACTGAAACTCCAGCTCCAGGTATCTAAAGCCTCTGGCATCCAAAGGAACTGCACTCACATGCACATACCCACACAGACACACACACACACACACATATATATATACACATAATTTAGAGTAACAAGAACAACAAAATTTAAAGCCCTCAGTATTTTCCTTTATAGGTTATTTTTTGCCCACTGTTTAGGAAGCACCTCTATAAGCTATGATAGACCATAAACATATTCTCTTTTGTATAGTGATAATACTTAAGAGGGCCTCATTTTTATATTTTTCTTCAGTTCATTTGAAGTTTGTTATATGTGGTAAAAGGTGCTATTGCTAGCTGATGCCTAAATTTCTATTCTTTGCTTCTTCTACAATAAACATTTAAATAGGCATTTATTCAGATATATCCTGAAAAAAAAAAAAAAAAGACACTCTTCCAATTTCTTTGGAGGCTGTAAAGAAGACATAAAATTCTGTAGTATAATAGGAAAGTGGGCTGAGATAGCTCAGCAAGTAAAGGTGATTGCCACCACGCCTAAAGACTTGAGTTCAATCCCAAGGATTCACATAGTAGAAACAAAACTGACTCCCTGAAGTTGTCTTCTGACCTCCATATGCTTGCCATGGCACATGAGCATGCACACACATGTACATGCACACACAAAAAATGTAATAAAATTATTTTATAACACAAAAAAGGAGAAAGTATGCTTCCCCTTTACCAATCTACCTCCTTTCCATGGGCTAAAACATGAGCCAGTAGACTCAGACACACATTAAAAAAAAAAAAAAAAATACCTTCTAGATAGGATAGCAAAAGAAAAGGAAAAAAAGAGGAGCATAAGCTATTTAACGACTCAGACTTTTCCATAAGAAATAAAATTCAACCTTTCAGGCCGGGCATAGTGGTGCACACCTTTAATCACACCACTTGGGAGGCAGGGGCAGGCGGATATTTGTGAGTTCAAGTCCAGCCTGGACTACATAGTGAGTTCTAGTTCAGCTGGGGCTACAGGGAGACCCTGTCTCAAAAAAAAGACAAAGAGAGAGAGAGAGGGAGAGAGAGAGAGAATGAACCGCTATTATGAGTTTCTGTCACAAAATGCTAAAACATATTAATGAAAACAGATCAAATTCTGGGGACTGTAGAGATGGCTCAGCAGTTAAAAGCACATACTGCTCTTGCAGAGGACCTGAGTTCTGTTCCCAGCACCCATGTCAGGCAGCTCACAATGGCCTAAAATTCCCCACTGGCATTCATGTGTACATGTTCACACACAAACCTATACATATACACACTTCAAAAACTAAATCTTTTAAAAAACAAAAAAAGAATTCTTTTTTTTTCTTTTGGTCTTTTTGAGACAGGGTCTCCGTGTAGCCCCAGCTGGCCTGGAACTCCCTATATAAATAGGCTGGCCTTGATCTCTCAGAGATCCACTTGCCTCTGCTTCTCTTCAGTGCTGGAACTAAGGCATGGGCCACCATGCCCAGTAAGAATCAAATTTTTGTTTTTCAAATAGATACCCATTATTTTAGTACCCTATCTCAAGTTAAAATGTGACTTTTGCTCTAAATTCATGTGTATAAATATCTGATCTTTAAACAAAAACAAGAATGTACATATTTAAATGACTTTGAATTTTTAAAAAGTTATAAGGAGACTATAGTTTCCAACAGTACTGCCAAAGCACTTAGATTTTACCCTCCATTTTTATATTTCTATTATCTAAAAACAATAGAGCCTAGGGTGGTGGCTCTTGTAATCCCAGCATGTTGGTGCCTGGGAAAGAAAAATGTCAAGTTTGAGGTCAACCTAAGCTACACAGCAGGACACTGTTTCAAAAAATAAAAAGTAATTATTTGATGGTCATACATGATTTCTGACTAAAGATAGCATTTGTATATCAATCTCACTTAATGGGATCTAGTCAAGTCTTTTAGCAAATTTTTGGGAAAAAAAAATTAAGAGTTCTATAAATCCCCTGAGGACGAACTTTCAGTGTGCCATAGGCACTTATTAAAAGCAACTACAGGGTTTGGAGAGCTAGCCCAACAAGAGCCCTGGCTGCTCTTGCAGAGAACCTGGGTTCAGTTCCTAGCACCCACATGGAGGTTAACAACTATCTGCAGTTCCAGCTCCAGAGGATCCAATGCCCTCTTCTGGCCTCCACAGGCACTGCATGCCCAGGTGCCCACATGCAGGCAAAACACTCATACACATAAAGTAAAAATAAAAAATTTTAAAGCAACTACAGAACAGACTTTTTAAAGATTTCTGAACAATAACAGATATAACACTTACAAAATATCTACTTGAAGTAACCATAATCATTTGTCTAAATATGACAATGAAAATATGAAAAACTTTCTAATTTAAGGATTTCTTAAGTAGTCAATACTTAAAATGTTCACAACTTTTCTACTGACTATGAACAGGATTGTGATCAAACTTAAATGTACAACATTCTTGGAGATTTACAACACAAAATTAGCAAGTTAAAAGTTCTAAGAAAGGATAAAGATTAAAGACAGCATTTATAAAGCTTTTTGGACTGCAAAAATCTTTATGAAATATGTCTACTCTGTACCCTAGTCCAAGTCCTTTTTAATAATTCTGCTTTAAATGATATTTTGTGATATTCTATGACATTCTTTTTAGAGATCTTCCAAAGAACAAGAAAAAGGTCTTTAATAGAATAAACGTATTCTATTTTGCAATTACCATATGGAGTCACAGAACCTTTTTATAAAGGGATACATTTATGGGATTCTTTTAAAATTAGGGTTGGGGGGACTGCATACCATGGCAAGTGTGAGTCAGAGGATAACTTCTGGGAGAGGATAACTTTCTTCAACCATATGAGTATCAAAGATCAAACTCAGATTGTCAAGCTCAGCAGCACCTTGCTGGCCCCATTTATTAAATCCTAATGATCTTTATCTTTTCCTTTATCTTGAAACATCATATTTTAGAATCTTATAAATTTATTCACAATTCATTATTAATTATTCCTAACTATTCTAACCAGGAGACTAAAATGGAAAGTTTGATAGTTCTTTGTCAGCTGGACAGACTCTAGAATCACCTGGGAGATGGGAGATGGGCATGCCTATGGGCATCTTACTGTGTTAACTGAGGCAGGAAAACTACCCACCATGACTAGCACCATTTCCTGGCTGGGATCCTGGGCTACACAGTGGAGAAAGGGACCTAAGCAGCAGTGTGCATTCATCACTCTCTGCTTCCTGACAGTGCATGCATGATGAGCTGCCTCCAGCTCCCACTGCCAGGACTTCCACACCATGATGGTCTGTACTCTTGAACTGTAGACCAAAATAAACACTTTCTCCCTTAAGTTGCTGTTGTCAAGGCATTTTATCACAGCAACAGGAAAAGTTAACTAAGACAGGAAGTACAGTGGAAATAAAACAGTAACAGAAAAATCACCACTATTTGCCATTTTTCTTTTTGCACTGCTCAAAGTATTACATCATTTAAGAAGGTACTAAAAATATAAAGACATCCTTGTAGACATTCCCATTTTTCCATGATCACAGTTGAGAGGCAGAATTTTTCCTTTTTCATTCATAATGACAAATAGAAAAATAAGCAGAAGATAAATGCAAAGAGGCATAGAGCAACACCACATTATGGAGTTTTTCTACATAGGTACTACTCACATTTTAGATCAGATAATTCTATGGTACAGAATGTTTTGTATAATATACAAAACTATTTTGTATATTATACAAAACTATTTTTAATAGCAACCTTGACTTCTTCCCATAAATGTCATAGTGCTATCCTATCCCTGATTGTAACAACCAAAAATGTCTTCACAGATTATCAAATATACTATATTGTCAAATCACCCCTATCAAGAACCACTGCATTGAACTCTTAACAATCCTATAGGTAATAAATCAGATTATGACTTGCAGATGATCATAGCCTAGAGGAACGGTCTCACTCAAAAAGAGGAATGAGGGGCTGAAGAGGTAGTTCAGTGGTTAAGAGCACTAGCTGCTCTTGCAGAGGACCAGGTTCAATTCCCAGCACCCACATGGTGGCTAACCATTTGAAACCCCGGTTCCAAGGGATCCAACATGCTCTTCTCACCTCCACAAGCACTGCACAACACAGATGTATTTACACATATGCAGGCAATACACTCATAACACATACAATTTTTAAAAAATAGATTAAAAAGGAAAAAGGAAATGAGGCATAAGGTACGGCTCAGGGATAAAGCACTTGGGTGTTTGATCCCCAGCAAAGAGAAAGAGAGGACGAGAACAATTTACTTCCAAGAATAAAAAAGAAAATATGGTAGCTTCATCTAGTCAGTCATAAGATGAGAAGGACTAAACAGCAATTTAATATGAAAAATCCAAATCATGAATACTTTGTGTCAAAAGCTTAGACGACCTCATTTTGTTAAAAGGTTGTCTGATAAACCTACCATTAGGATCCAGTTATACCACTCCTTGGTATATACCCAAAGGACTCATCCTACTGCAAAGATACTTATACATCCATGTTTGTTGCTGCTTTTTCATGATAGCTAAGAAATGGAAGCAGCATACGTGTCCCTCAATTGACAAGTCAATAATGAAAATGTAGTACATTTACGCAATGGAATTTTACTCAGTGGTAAAGAAAAAAATCATGAAATTTGCAGTTAAATGAATGGAACTAGAAACTGTTATACTAAGCATAGTTACACAGGCTCAGAAAAACAAATGAACAACAGATGTTCTCCCTCATTTGTGGATCTTAGCACCAAATCCTTATATATGAGTATATTTCCTGATAACAACTGCAGGAGCCAGAAAAATGAAAAGGAACCAAGGAGGTAAAGGGATAGAAGTCTTAGAGAGAAGAACAGTAGAAGACTGGTGTTACCAAGGATAAAATGGGTAAAATGGGGGTATTTAAATGGGAGGGTAAGAGAAAAAGTTATATGAGGAACATAGGGTAAAGGGGAAGATGGAGCTCAAGAGAGGGGGACCATAGGAGACAGGTATTATGAAAGGGAAAATGGGGAAAATGTGGATATTTTAACTGCAGAGGGAGGATTAAGAGTTAGATAGGGAGAGAGGGAAGAGATAAATAATGCTTAGCTCGTGTGAAAAACCGGAGGGAAATTTATCAGTTCAAAAGCCTACTGAAAAATTACACATACAATATATCCACATGAGATAGGAGAAACCTCTCTTCAAGTTGTTGGCCAGGTAGTCCAAGAGACTCCCAAAATTACAGAGTTTTGCCACAGCCCTTGATTGCCTCCCAGAACTTGAAAGAAAGATCCTATTACTGAAGACAGGACATACTTTGGACACAGGACTTGGAGCAATGGAGCTGGAGCTGACCTGGAAGGCACCTCCCTGAAGACTAGCTCTCATAGTTTTGGAGGACACTATGCAAGCCACAAAGAGAGAACATCAATCGATCGTCCAACCCCAGCTTTAAGGACTAACAACCACAACAATGACCAGCACAGGAAACTATATTGAGTGACACTTTTTTATATGACACTTTTTAATATAGTGAGTGACACTTTTATCTTGGGGGTAATCAACAGTTACATAATTGAACTTAAAGCCCACTCAATGGGGTACTGTAAACATAGCCAAATATACCTGGCTGAAGAGGTCACAGATCTTAGAGAAAATTCTAAGGCTGTCACATCCCTAGACAAATGTAATTTCTTACTATGTGCCAAATATGGACTTTTATATATACAGACAAGTATGCCAGTCACCACTCATCAAGGAACTTCTTTTGCAACAGATGGGAGACTATTACAGAGTTCCACAACTGGTCCTACACAGAGAATAAGTGTATGTGAAATGCCCAACCCTCAGTGACACACCTATAATGGAACCTCTACACCTAAGGCTAAAGGAACATAGTGGAACAAGGGGTAGAAAGAATTCTAATGCATCTCTCAACTCTCATCAACAAAGTTCCCTCATGCAACAGAGGGCAATGGACACAAAAGGCCACAAATAGCCAAAGCATAAAGATTAAGAGTCTGCAGAGTGTGGGTCCTTGGACATGACTCCTATATTAAACTCACTCACCCAAGGCTCATGGACCACTGCACAAGAGGGGGCAGAAAGATTTTAAGAGCCAGGAGAGGAGCTGTTTGACCATATGGAAACAGTTGTACAGGCTCCTGGGACCTTGCTTATATCAATCTACAGCAAAGGTGTCAGCATGCACAAGACACATGCAAATTCAAGCAGACAAAACCCCAGCATAGAACTGTGGAAGTGGGCAGCAGGCCTCAGTCTTAGCCAAAGCACTATTGGCAGCTGATTACTGCTGGGTGAAGGAGAGCTGCTCTCCTTTAAGGGGTTGACACTACACAGGCTGATTAGACTACACAGGCTGATTAGACACCAATGAATGTACTTACACTGAGGGACATCTGGATACACTAACTTTTCCTGCTCAACAGGCCTTAATATAAATGACAGGATGCATGAAATCTGGTGGGGAGAGGTATGGGAGGGTGCGGATGGGGGAAGGGATGATTATATAAAGATGATTAAGATGTTTTATATAAAATACACAAAAATTCAATAAAAAAAATAAACAGATGTCTGGCAATACTGTCCAATCTTTTATGTTTGTACACCAAAATGACTTATAAGTGGTCAAATGTTTAAGATACATATATAAAAGCATTTAGAAAGAAACAATGTAAAAACAAAAATAATTCATTAAAGTGTTTTGCAATTATGATACAAAGATTGATATATTTTATATAGATACAAAAAACATTTACTATAATAAGGTTAAACCTATTACATTATGTGGGAGTTGAACAAATTAAATGATTATTACAAAAAGAATCTAGAAAATAACTCTGAAATAGAATATCAAAATTTACTGCACATTTAAAATGAATGCATTTATCAGCTATAAATTATATCCCAATAAAATTGACATTAGTGCTGGGCATAATGGTACACACCTATAAGCCAGCACTTGAGAGGCAGAGGGCAGAGGCAAGAGGATTACAAGTTCAAGGCCACCCCGAGCTACATAATGAGTTCTAACCCAGACTCAGCTACATAGTGAGCAATGAGATCTTATAGCAAAACACCAAAAAAAAGTTGACCTTAAAAACGATTATTGTCCAAATACATTAATTATAAAAAGACACTTTATATACAGTACCTACAAATTCCACAGCTTTCACAATGATACTGCTTCTTATCTTTATCAAACAGATGGCATATATTGCAATAATATTCTCCAAACAACGTGCTACAATCTTCACAAGTCTGTTGGGACTGAAAATGACACAGTAATTAAAAACTGGGATAAATTACCAAAACATTTTAAATACCAAGGATTTATGTCAAAGTACGTGTACCATATTTTTACAAGATTTCAAATATCTAAATCAAAGATATTGCTTACTAAAAAAGTCTCATTTGCAATTTAATTAAATTTTTTCAATTCATCTTAAAACTTTAAAAAGAAAGCAAGAAGGGGCTGGAGCAGTAGCTGCTCTTGCAGAGGACCCAGATTTGGTTCTCAGCACCTAACAACCATCTGGAACTCCGGTTCCAGGGGATCCAATGCCCTCTTCTGGCCTCCATAGGCCTGCACCAATATGCAAGCAAAACACTCATACACATAAAATACAATTTTTTTTTAAAAAAGGTTAAAAAAGGGGGCTGGAGAGATGGCTCAGCAGTTAAGAACACTGACTGCTCTTGCAGAGGACCCAGGTTCAACTCCCAGCACCCACATGGTGGCTACAAACCGTCCTTAACTCCAGTTTCAGGGGAATCCGAAGCTCTCTTCTGACCTCCGTGGCATTGCACGATACAGGTACACTCACACGCATGCAGGCATACACTCATACACACGATTTAAAATAATAAATTTTAAAAAATATTTAAAATGGTTAAAAAAAGTCATAAAATCTTACATGTTGGATTTTTTCACAGTTAATACACTGTACTTCCTTTACTTTGAAACGATCTAGTTGATGATCTTCATTGCTATCATGACACAGCCGGCAAGTGTAAAGCTTGTCACAACAAGGTGCCTAACACCCATGGGACAAAGGAACATAAGAAGCAAAAGAAGACAAGTTAACTATGAAAAAAAAAAAAAGTTCTACCACCTCCTCCTCTGGTTTATACAACCAATGGATCAGTTGCTAACATTTCAATTTCTTGGCATTTTTGATGCTAATGATTCACCCCTTCAATATCTATATGACACTAAACACAACTTTAAAGCACAGTAATTATAATGGAAAGAAATCTTTAAACAGAAAAACCAAACCCATAAATCCTGATCTCATTCTCAGCCTAAATAGCAGACAGGTAACCCCTTCTTGAACATTGCCAGAAAAAAAAAAAAAAAAAATCATTTATTTACCTTAACATCTAAAGATAAAAATGGGATTTTATTTAACTAGTATTTCTTAATCATGAAATACATGCCTAATACTGCATAGGATGCAAGAAACATAGTAAGACAGTTATTGTTTTTGAAAATGGCAAAAATTGCCAGTTGTCCACCAAAATCTATTCTCTCTTTCCTAAGCAGATTACCCAACTATTCTATATTTGGATTCCATAGATGGTCATATGCCCTAAAACATGTAAAAAATAATAAAACAAAAAAATATTGTCCCTAAAATGTCAATGTGGAGCAAAAGATTTATGGTACTCTGGATCCTTCACCTTGGAATTACTAAGTGGGAAGAAATGCATTCTTTTTTCTTTAAACCATATTATTGTTCAGTCATCTCTGTATAAATACTTAATCTTTATCCTATTATATGAAGAAATTCCCAGGGCTTCAGATGTAGCTTAGTGGTAGGCTACTTGCCTACCATGTCCAAGGTGCTGGGTTCAATGCCCAATCCCCAGTACTAAAAAAATAAAAGCTTGTTTTGGAGGTGAAAATGACCAAAATATATGAAATTAAAAAATAAAAAATACTAGCCGGGTGTGGTGGTGCACGCCTTTAATCCCAGCACTCAGGAGGCAGAGGCAGGTGGATCCCTGTGAGTTCAAGGCCAGCCTGGTCTACATAGTGAGTTCTGGTCAGCTGGGACTACAGGAAGACCCTGTCCAAAAAAAAGAGCCAGAAAAAACAAATTTCCTTAACTTAAAAAAAGAAAAAGGAAATTCCTAGGCCAGTGGGTTAGCTCAATATTTTCCAATATACTATTTATTACCTTGCAGATCTATACATTTCTGAGAGTCTTCTATGCTGGAATTGAACCATAGCATAGTTTAGTCTTTAAACATCATTTTTTATTGGTTTCTTTTTTTTCCCCACATTACTCTTGTCCTTCATTTTAGTGATGAGTACATCCACAATAATCTTATCAATAACCGAAACTTTCTTGCTTTAAATGGCCTTGTCCTCCAACCCTCCTCAGGCATCACCTCATAGACATGCCATAAACAACAATAGTTCACAAATATTTTGGTCTCTACCCTTTTATACGCTAAGATTATTAAGGGTATCAGAGTTTTTGTTTACATGGATTACATCTATTAATCTTATATCTAAATTACTGATGGTTTTTAAATATTACTTTTTTAAAAGTAATAAGTCTATTACCTGTAATGTAAGTATTTTAATGAAAAATAGCTGTATATTCCCCTCAAATAGCTAGATTCTCATATCTGTTCTGCATTCAATCAGTTGTTGTTGAAGTATATGAAGAAACTCTGGCCTCACACAAATACGCAACTGGAAAAGGGAAGAGCATTTTAATGGCCTTACAGAGAATTATGAATGTTCTCTGAGACTACACCAAAACTCGACAACTCTTAAAGGTTAGTTGCAACACAAAATCTGAAATCATACCAATGAAAATCCTGTCCTCTGTTCCATTAAAATCCATTAATCTACCTTGCACACAGACAGGATCCTTTACCCATATCTGTCATTCAGAAAACACCAGTTCAGAGTTATATAGATCTCCCAAATGTTCACGTTTGACATGCAATTTAAAAAATCCTATTTGTTAAAAAGTCTTTAGATATTGGTAGATAAACTTCCTAAGTTATAGAAGCTAATAGAAATTTTCCAAAATACTCATTTTTTTATGAAAGCTTTGGTTTTATCACTAGTTACAAATATTATGAACTGTTTCTCTTTTAATAAGTCTTTTTAATATTTTATTTTTATTTTATGTGTATGAGTGTATTGCCTGCATGTATGTGAGTCAGAAGAGGGCTTCGGATTCCCCTGGAACTGGAGTTAAGGATGGTTTGTAGCCACCATGTGGGTGCTGGGAATCAAACCCGGGTCCTCTGCAAGAGCAGTCAGTATTCTTAACTGCTGAGCCATCTCTCCAGCCCCCATTTAATAAGTCTTGATTCCTGCCTCCTTTTTGAGAAAATGTCATATATCCAAGCTTGAACGGCCAATTTTTTCAAGTTAAAAATGTTCCATGAAAGTAGTAACTAATTAACTTCACAATCCAATTGCATAAGAAGTTTTCCTCAAGAAAACCAAAGTACTTGCTAAAAAGTTTAAACGGTATGTATAAGACTTGATCATTTTCTGGCTTCATAAATGACATTTTAAGTAAACTGGCTTAATATAGTGCACCTGGCTCAACAGTGTAGAATCACTGCGATGGTTCATACATAGATACTAACAATTTTATTCATTACTTTTCAACCATCAATACAATGTCAACACATTGGATAAAGAATATCTAGTAGTTCTACAAAGAACTTTTGACTTCACAGCCTGATTTCTGGGGGTCATTCATCACACTCTAGAACTGCTACTCCAAAAAAAAGGACTGTATTTGCTCTGTAACTCAACTCCAAGCATGAAATTCTCTAACACTCTTTCCAACTAACCCCATCTTCCTTTGCATATACCCTACCTCCTTCCTCCCTTCCTCTATATACTCAGTGACTAAAATCCTAACGCTAGTTAAATCCAACTCTCTCCTCCCACTGGCATCAGGAACAGCTGACTTGAGTTAGAGTAAAAACATCACCTTACTGTCTGTTCTCAAAAATCGTTTAGCATTTTTGAAAAAGTGGACTTATTACAATTTCTTAGTTAATTCCCTGTTCTTGAGTCTGTCGAAAGATATAGATGACCATTTCAGATCTTCTCTTCTTCCTTTAAAACTCTTAACACCTCTTTCTCCCTGGTAACATTTGCTGATGACCTTGCTGCTTATTTCACTATTAAAAGTAATCAAGAGAAAATATATTCCCATAACATCAATCTGAGATTATACCTTATCATCTTTTACAAAGAATCTAGCTAGTCCACGCATGAAGGTCAGCATCTCCACTTGCATGCTGAATCTCATGCCCTCTGACAACTCAAGATTTCAGCCCCTAGAGTTCTCCCTTGTCCTCCTGCTTACAAAAAATAGCCTACTAGATCAAGTCCATAAAAACACACTGGAACACATCTTTCAGCAAAAACACCCTTTCTGTTCTCTTACAACAAAACTTCAAAATTCTCTATGCTATTTCCAGTGTCCACACCTCCATTCTCTCTTGAATCCACTCCAATCAAGCTTTACACTGGATCTCTCCACTGACACTTGTCAAGATCACCACTGAAGATGCCAAATTCGTCTCACTCAAACAGCTGCGCATGCTCTAGTAGATTACGTCCTCCTTGAAACTCTACACTTTGCCTCTCCTATTTAATAGGGAAGAAGAAGAAAGGAAAGCAGAAAAAAATATTTGATGCTCAGGGGCAACTTATCTTAGTACCGTGAAACACAAATTTAGTTGTGCAATTTCTTTGCAGGGTGACGGAAGGGCAAGATTGTATATTCAGTTTCAGACCTCAAGTTTGAAATAGTATCTTAGTAGAGATGTAACCAAAAGATAGTCTTCAACACATTACACAAATACCAGATTTGAAATGCCTTCATTCAGTGCAGTGAAGCAATGTTCACCAAACTATGGCCTATAGGAATAAGGTTGTCTTACAGACCTGAGACTATCATTTGCTTCTAATTATTCTGGTCAGCGACCAGTAGAGTTGACTGGTAAAGTGAAATAAAAGATAAAATGATTTTGACAGCAGTGGTTAATATTTACTCATCACTCGTACCTCCTAAACACTATGCCTGCACTTTAGTATGTTTAAGAAAGAGGAACCCCCCCACCCCACCCCTTTGGTACTGGGGATTGAACCTACAACCGCTACCAAGGACAGAAATCCCCAAGCCCTCTTTTCACTCCGGGCTCCAGCCCTTCTTGGAAACCAGGTCTCCAGTCTGGCAATCCCAAATAGCTGGGTTTCAGGTAGGCTGGAACCACAGGACTGCAGCATCAGGCCCAGCTGGAACTTATACTATTCCTATTTCATACATGAGGCATTTAAACAGCTTGCTGAAAATTAGAGCAATTAAGAGGCAGAACTAAGATATTGGGGGGGGGTATGGATTCTAACACTCAAGTTTCTTTTTAGTGGGAGAAGAGGAGTGCGAGGGATCGAAGCCAGGGCCACCTCCATTTTAATTCCAAGTTCTACTACTGAGTTATACCGCCAGCTCAGAGCTCTGGCTTTCTCAACAAAATCTTCACTCTGCTTCTTCAAAGGAAAATCAGGACACTTTTAACTGTGTGAAGGCCAATTTTAAAACTCGCTGATTACCAAGTTTCTCAAAGTAAGGAGCAAGAATAACCTACAAGTACCGGGCACGTCTCTACACCTATTCTCCAACTTAATGGCGATTTCAGAGCTGTGTTCCATTTCGTACATATTTTCTCCTTGACAGGTTGCAGCTGACAACAAACGTAAGCTGACAGGCAGTACGATGTACCAACTACGTGTATAGCAATAGATTCGGATTCTGCTTGCTTATGCTTTCACAACTTCATCACATTCCAGACTGTGGCCCTGGAGAAAAGCTTCGGTCAGGCCTGGGGCTGCCGGTTAACTTCCAGCAGATAAGGACTGGCAACGCGACTCGCACCAAGACCAAGCTCTCCCCAAATAAGAGCTGCGCTTGCAAAGTGCAAAGCAGAGAGGAAGCACAGGCTCTGGGTCTTTTCGCCAGAAACGTTCTCGGCAAGAGGCCCCCTGATCCAGAAGGTACTCTGACAAGCTCGGCCTGACACTGAAGTCTAGCTAACTGCCTTGCCCACGCCGCCCCCGGACCGACCAGGCGGCAGCTGGTCAAGGAAGACCCCCTTAGTAGACGTCACCTTCAGGAGACAGCCTCTGTCATAATGCTCGCAGCCCCGCCGCCCTCGCTCTCGGCTGCGGACGCCATCTTCCCCCGCAGTCGCCGCCATCTCCTCCACCTCCCCTCACTCTCCACAGACCCTTCCCCCCAGGTTGAAAGCCACGCCCAGAGAAGCAGCGTCGGGCGAGCTCCACTCCTCCGACCAGCTGCTGCCACAGCAGATGATATGGCGGCTGGACACGTGACCTGGGGCAGCTGGACTTCCGGTTTCCGGGGCGAAGGGGCGGAAGCGAAGCGCGGCGTACACTCCGTTGTCCACGTTAGTCGCCGTGGTCGCTGCTAACGGTAATATCGCTTAGGTTGGCTCTTCCTGTCGCCCCATCACTGCCCTCCCAGATCTCGGGGTGAGGGTCGGCCGACGGGAACCGCTGCGACGCCAGGGGCCCTGCTGCAGGCCGCGCTCCGCCGCAGGCGCCTGTGAGGAAACGCCCCTCCCTCGGCCTGGCCCGCCGCCGCCTCGGGAAAGGGGCGGAGTTCTGCGGCTGGACCGGAACTCTTCCGCCAGCTGCTCTCGAGCAGTTGGCGCCCAACGTTCTGTCCCTCCAGACGTTCTTTGTAAAGACCCAGTAACGTTTACCATGTGCTATAGTCACCAGGAAAGCTATGAGGACAAAAAGTGAAAAACTGCAGGCACGTATAACATGCCCCAGTGGAATTCCCAGATAGACGGGGGAGAGAATACTGCAGTGAATACGATCACGACTTGGAGAAACACTTGTAAGGAGAATTGCCTGGAGTGAAAGAACCGGTATTAGGGAGAACAAGTCTTAATCTGGGTGTCAGGGAACGTTTCTCTGGGGAAGGGGGGCCCTTGGGATGAAAGATAAGTAGGCAGACAGCATGCCTGGAGGAGCTGGCATGCACAGACCTATAGCAGAGAAAATCTAGAGTCTGTGAAAGAAATAGCCAAAGTCGACAAAACTGAAATCTGAACGCCTCAAGGTGTATCACTAAATAGCCACCTTTATTAAAGTACCAAAACCATAGAAATTTTTACCAGCAAAACCAGATTCGGGGATGTAGAAGCCTTTGACTTTAGCCCCAAAGTTACTAACTCATTTTAATTCTCTTTCAGTTTTGTTATGCGTTGCTAAAATCATGGTGAAATGTTGCTCGGCCATTGGATGTGCTTCTCGATGTCTGCCAAATTCCAAGTTAAAAGGACTGACATTTCATGTGTAAGACTTTGCTGTACTTAAGCCAAGTACTTTTAACTTTTACTAAAAATGAACAGCTGCAATTTTGAGCTTTAGTACCCAGGTCCTTTTTAAATGACCTTGTTAAATTTGAAGTCACAGTGATTCTTTTACACGTATATAATTTTATATAAAAGTTTTAAGGGCCGAGGAGTCAAAGACAAGGAGTTAAAAACAAACTCATCTTTGCTAATGTTACTTGTACATTAGCTGTATTTTCTTAGTTTTATGTATATGAATGTTTTGTCTGCATGTATGTAAATGCACCACTTGTGTGCAGTTCCTGAGGAGACCAGAAGAGAGCATGGGATCCTTTAGAACTGGAATTGTTCATAGCCACTATGTGGGTGCTGGGAACAAACCCATGTCCTCTGAAAAAGTAGTCAGTGCTCTTAACCTCTGAGCCATCTCTCCAGCCCTGTAACTTTATTTTCTTTAAAGTTTACTTTTGTTTATGTGTAGTTTCCAATCTGAGTGAAGGATCTTTGTTCAAATATATGTCCCTTCTAATTAGAAATAGATGAGGCATAAGTTACAAAATATAAATTACAAGTTCAGACCAAAGGTTATTTAGCTGTATTGCAGATAAAGCTTGATGATTTTGATTTGGTGTTTTGGCCATTCCCCTGACAGCCGTAGGAAGAAATTAATAGGATTTAATACTTAATTGATTTGCTAAGAATTTTGCAGCTTTGGGGCCAAGAACTTGGCTTTATGTTATTATTTGCTGAACAAGGAAATCAAAAAGTATGTATACCCTACCCTGCCTTATTCCCCAAAAGATTTAAACCAGCTTGGAAAATTGAGAGATAGGATTATTGATGCCCCCATCCCCATAGTTCTCCAAACACATCTAGCTCCAGAATTGCAGGCTCTGCAGCTGTTCTCTGCATTCATTCACAAAACATTTATAGATCTGCTGTATATTAACTGATACACTAAGGAATTCGCAGATGTTGACAAAAGAATGAATCTATTCATTGAGGATAAGTTCTGGATATTACTTGAGATAGGAAAGGGCCAAGGGTATTCTTTAACACCTATAAAGATGTTAAATATAAGTGTGGATCTTGACTAAGTTGCTAAATGTCCATTGAAACATCAAAGTAATATAAAATCTTGAAGCCGTGTTGAGGAATGGTTGGCAGAAAAATCTGAATATTAAAACTGAGTTGTTTACGAGGCGTGGTGGCACATGCCTTTGATCCCAGCACTTGGGAGGCAGAGGCAGGTGGATCTCTGTGAGATTGAGGACAGCCTGGTCTACATGGTGAGTTCCAGGCCAGCTGGGGCTACAGAGAGACCCTATCTCAAACAAAAAGCGCAAAGGGGTGGTGGTGGGGGACTGAGTTGCTGGGCATAATGGCACACACTTTTAATCCTAACCTGATCCTTGAGACTCACAGTGGAAATAGAAAACCAGCTCCTACAAGTTGTCCTCCATCTCCACATGTACTCATTGGCATGTACACATGCACAGGTGCATGCATGCAGAAATAAATAAAAATGTAGTTAAATGCTGTTCTTCCAGAGGACCCAAGTTTGATTTCTATCACCCACATCAGGCAGTTCACAACCACCTTTGACTCCAGCTCAAGGTGATGCCTCTGGTCTCCATGGGCACCCTCACTCACATGCACATACACACAAACTCACATATGTACACATAATTTAAAATAATAAAAAAATTAGAAATAGTGTACCAAATGTTTATATTTAGCTGAGCATGGTAGCACACTAATTTAATCCTAGCACTTGGGAGGCAAAAGCTGGCAGATCTCTGTCTTTGAGGCTAACTTGATCTATGCAGTGATTTCCAGGCCAGCCATGGTTACATAGTGAGACCCTGTCTCAAAAAACAAAACAAGACCAAAAAAAAATTAACTGAATACACAAGCATGAATCATGGTTAAATGTTGCAATTCCTGAAAGTAGTAACTAAGGAATTAGTTTAGCCATAGTCCTATAAGACAGCTTTAATTCATGTATATATCAATAGTATTTAGTTTTAAAATATTTTCTATATTTTTTTTCTAGATTCCCTACAGATGAAAACATCAAAAGAAAGTGGGTCTTAGCAATGAAAAGACTTGATGTGAATGCTGCAGACATTTGGGAGCCCAAGAAAGGAGATGTGTTGTGTTCTAGGCACTTTAAAAAAACAGATTTTGACAGAAGTACTCCAAATATTAAACTGAAACCAGGAGTCATCCCTTCTGTCTTTGATTCCCCATATCACCTTCAGGTTTGTTTATGAGCTACTACTTTCAGTCAGCACACAAGGGCTATGATATTATTGAAGAATCACCAAATTGTTTTCATTTGAAATGCATTTTTTGGTTTTTTTTATAGACTGTAGATTCAGCTTTCATCGTACATAGCCATCTTTTTCTAAAGTGCTAGGGAATATCTTCTCCCATTTTTACTCCCCCTATTTTTGGGAAATTTATGTTTATAGATGAACTCTAGAGTTGTTTGGGGGAAGAAGCTCTTTTAAAGTAACCTGAATGGCATTTACTGACTTCTAAGAGCAATTTTACCATACAAAGTTAAGAAGAAATAAAAATTCAAGACAAAATAGAATATCTCAGTGATTATTAACTATTCCTAACAGGAGAAAAGAGAAAAGCTTCATTGTAGAAAAAACTTCATTCTCAAACCCCTTCCAGTCACAAACCACAATTACCAGCTTGTTGGTGCCTCATGTATTGAAGAATTCCAATCCCAGTTCATTTTTGTAAGTAAAATTACTTACTGAGCTAATGTTAATTCTTTAGGTAAATATGTTCTCTCCTCTAAGATCAAATGTGTCAGAATCACAGCAAAAACTAAAATGTAGGGTTTGGGGGTTTTCTTAACTACATAATGTTTCCAAATACTTTTGCTTCTCATGGTCACTGTAATTGGAATATGTGCAAAACCAATATAGGAGTATTCTTTTGATTATATATTTAGTTTGAATGCTTTTACAAGGATTATTCTAAGCCGGACATGGTGGCATACACCTTTAATCACAATACTTGGGAGGCAGAGGCAGATGAATCTCTGAGTTCAAGGCCAGCCTGGTCTGTGTGGTGAGTTCCAACCACCTGGGGCAGACCCTGACTCAAAAAAGAGAATAAATAAAAGGATTATTTTTCCCTTTGAGTATCACATTTTCTAATTGGAAATATTTAACTAAAGAATAGCTATATCTTTAGGTTATCTTGAAAAATAGCCACACACAGTACAGAGTGTATCAAGGTTACACTTACTTACTAATGTTTTACTTACTCATTTGAAAATTAGACATGGAATATAAACTTTATTATAGATTGATAGTTTTTTTTTTTAATCAGGCACTGTTACTCCACCCACCTTGATATTTCTCAAAGTTGTTTTGACTATTCTAGATTATTTGCATTTTTATATGAATTTAAAATCATGTTATAAAGTTCTACCAAAAACCATGCTGGAGTTTTTGACTAGTTTGGTGTTGCCTCTAAAGAACCCTTTGGGAAGAACTGATATCCTAGTGATAGTAAGAAATCGTTTCAACACTTGAACTCAGAATATTTGCATTTATTAGGTCTTTAACGTCTCAGCATTATTTTATAGTCTTCAGTACACAGGTGTTTTATTTTGTCAGGTTTGTTCTCAGTATTTTACATGTTTGCTGTTGATCAATGTTATTTTGTTTACTTTAGAATCTGAAAATAAAATTAATTTTTTAATTGATCTTGTATCTAACAAATTTGCTGAATTCAAGTATTAATTACAGCAATTTTCTTGTTTGTAAAGGCTGTCAGATTTTCTGCATGACTCATCATGATCTCTGTGATTAAGGACAGTTTTTAATTCTTTCTTTTTGCTCTGAATGTCTTTCATTGCTTTCTTGCTTCATTGTACTGCCTTGAACCTCCAGGGCTATGCTGAATAGTATTGAGCTGATATCCAGGCCTTATTTCTAATTTTAGGAAGAAGGCATTCATTCAGTTGTTCATTATTAAATGTGAATTTTAGTTCTAGGTTTTTCATAAATGCCTTTTATCAGATCAAGGAGGTACCTTTCTATTCCAGTCTGCTGAGAGAGTGGTCATGTCATTTTTCTTTTTTTCTTTTAATATTTGTTATTTTTATTTTATGTATATGCGTGTATTGCCTGCATGCAGGTAAGTGTACCTGTGTCGTGCAATGCCCGTGGAGGTGGGAAGAGGCTGTCAGATCCCCTGGTACTGGAGTTACAGACAGTTGTTAGCTGCCATGTAGGTGCTGGGATCAAACCCATGTCTTCTACAAGAACAGTCAGTATTCTTAACCACTGAGCCATCTCTCCAGCCCCTGTCATTTTTCTTTTTTAGGTTATTAATATGAGCTGTCAATTGATTTTTTTTTTTTCAGGTACTGAAACAACCTTGTTATTCTGTAATAAATTAAACATTTGCTCCAGGAATGACCCTTACTTGGTGGTGCATTAACTCTTTTATATGTTTTTTTATTCTACTCAGTTTTTCCTCATCTTTCCCCATCCATTCAAGAGGAATATTTAACTGGAGGGTTCCCCTCCCCCTTAAAATATTTCGTTTGTCTGGACTCAGTATCAGAATAGGACTGACCTCCAGCAGATGAGTGAGAAACAAACTGCGAAGTTTCCTAGTTTTCTGGGAGGAAAATTTTTTGTAGGATGCTATTTTATAAATATTTGATAGATTCTTCCCATGAAGCTGTGTGGAACTATAGTTTTCTATGGGAGGAAAAATTTGTTGCTCCCATCATCCAAGGAATCTGTTCATTCCATCACAGTTGTAAATTTTATTAGCTTGAATTATTTGATAATATTTCCTTATTGGTTCTTCTATAGAATCTGTAGAATTTGTAGTCCCTTCCTATCTCTGATTCCTGAGCATTTGCTTCTGTTCTCTTACATTGCTGATCAGTCTGCCTAAAGAGCTAACAGTTTTGATGATCTTGTGAAAGAACTCAACTTTCATTTTCTTTGTATTTCACTAAATTCTGCTCATCTGTTATTTCCCTTTTTCTACTTGTTTCAGTAAAATTTTCTTATCTTTTTCTAAATAAGATAAAAGCTGAAGTCATGGTTTAAAGTCTCTATCTTTCTAGTCTAGGCATCCCACGGTATTAATTTCTCTTTGAGTATTATATCCCACAATTAAGGTTTATTTCCATTGTCTTTATATTTATATTTTTTTATTATTTTATGTGTATGAGTTGTATTGCCTGCATGCAAGTGAGTGCACCACCGTGTTGTGCAATGCCACGGAAGTCAGAAGAGGGCTTTGGATTCCCCTGAAACTGGAGTTAAGGACAGTTCGTAGCTGCCATGTGGGTGCTGGGAATCAAACCCAGGTCCTCTGCAAGAGCAGTCAGTGTTTTTAAGTGCTGAGCCATCTCTCCAGCCCCTCCATTGTCTTTTATATTTTCAAATTCTGTTTTATTTCTTCTTCAACCCATGGATTATTTAGAATGTAGTATATGGGGCTGGGGAGGTAGCTCGGTGGTTAAAGCCCTTGTCCTACAAGTATGAAGACTGGAATTCAGATGCCCAGAACCCACATACATGCAGGTAGGTATGGCAGCCTCCTATACTTCAGCCTTGAAAGGCAGATCCCCAGAGCAAGCTGGCTAGCAAGGTCAGCCATATTGGAAAGGTCTGAATTTGAGAGACCTTACCTCAGTGAATAAGGTAGAATAATGGTGCAGGATGATTCCCAACATACATAACCTTGGGCCTCCACGTGTACACACAAATATATATGCACATCTCTACACACATGGAAAGAGAAAAAGAAGTGTATTGTTTGGTTTCTAAATATTACAGAATTTTGTGGATATTTAATTAAATTCTATTGTGGTCAGCAAATGTACAGTGTATAGCTTAAATCCTATTGTTTTATTGTTTTTTCATTTTTATTGAATTTTTGTGCATTCATACATCTTAATCATATTTAGACCAGTTTCCCTATCTGTATCCCTCTATAACCCCTGCCCACCAGAATTAAAGCCTCTTTTTTTTTTTTTTTTTTTTTTGGTCTTTTTGAGATAGGGATTCCCTATAGCCACTGCTGGCCTGGAATTCCCTTTGTAGAACAGGCTGGCTTTGAACTCACAGAGATGCGCCTGCCTCGGCCTCCAGAATGCTGTAATTAAAGGCATGCACCAACACATCTGGCTTACTGATATATTTTGTAGCCAAGAATATAGCCTGTCTTGTCAGATGTTCTGTATGCGTTGGCAGTAGAGTCCACTTTTGTATCCTATAATGTACTGTAAATACCGTTAGGTCAGGTTGTTTGATAGTATTGTTCAAGCATTCTCTTCCATTGCTGAATCTCTGCCTACTTGTTTTATCTATTTTTCAGAGAAGATTATTGATATCTTCTAGTATGCCAGGAATGTTAGCACATACCTTAAATTCTAGCACTTGGGAGATAGAAGCAGGCTGATCTCTGAGTTCAAGGCCAGTCCAGTCTACACAGTGAGTTCTAGGCCAGTCAGGACTACATAGCAAAACCCTTGTCTTTTTTTTTAAAAAAAAAAGAAAGAAACCTTCTAATATAATTGTAGATTTGTCTTAATTTTTCTTTCAGCTGTCAGTAATTTTGTTTCTTAAATTTGGTAGATCTTGGTAAATTGACCACTCTATTATTTTTAAATGGCCTTTATTAAACTTGGTAATAATCTCTGCTCTGAAATTATAACCATTGTATCTCTCTTTTTTTGTTGTTTTGTTTTGAGACAGGGTCTTCCTGTAGCTCCAGCTGGCCTGGAACTTGCTAAGTAGACCAGGCTGGCCTGTCTCACAGAGATCTACTTGCCTCTGTCTCCAGAGTGCTGGGATCAAAGGTGTGTGCCACCACGCCTGGCTTATACATCTTTATTATTAGTGTTAGCATTATTTATCTTTGAAGTACATATTTTTGTAGATAGCATATAATTTTCCATCTTGCTTCTTTTTTTTAATCCAATCTGATACTGTCTTCTAATTTACTTAATGTGATGATAAATGCAGTTGAAGCTCTTAGCTTTCATTTTCCTGTTTGTTCCATTTGTTGTTATTTTTCTAACTTCTGTTTGTATTAATTGCATTTCTCTCCTCTCTGTTTTCTTTTGCTCTTCCCCCTTTTTTGAGACATGTTGCCAGCTGGCATCAAACTTGGAATTATCCTGCCTCAGCTTGCAGAGTGCTGGGAAGATGTGCACCATTCCTAGCTTACTATGACTCGTTTTATCTCCCTTTTAGGCTTATTAGCTATAATTTTTCTTTTAATAACTGCTTATAGTTTTATAACATATCTTTTTTCTTTTTGAGACAGGGTCTCACTTTGTAACCCTGACTTGGCCTAGAACTCACTATGAAAACCAGGCTGGCCTCAAACTCAAAAAGATCATACTGCCTGCTGAGGTTAAAGGCATGTGCCACCACACCCAACCTTACAGCATACCTTTAACTTTCATAGCCTGTAGAAACATTATTTCACTTCATTTACGTACAAAAATCTATACATGGTGGCGCACGCGTTAGATCCTAGCACTCGGGTGGCAGAGGTAGGCAGATCTCTGTGAGTTCAACGCCAGCCTTGTCTACATAGCGAGTTACAGGCCAGCCAGAGCTACAGGGAGACCCTGTCTCAAAAAGACACCCCTAAAAAAAAAAAAAAAAAAAAAAAATCTATACATAAAAAAATCTCATTTTTTATTTCTCCTCTTCCAACCTTTATGCTATTCTTAATAATGTATTTCTCTTTTATGTGTGTAACAAACTCCATCTTAGATATTATTTTTGTTTAAACAATAAGTTAAAGAGATTTAAATAATACAAACAAAATCTCGCATAATTGCCGTTTCCAGGGTTTCTGGGTCCTGTGTATATGGGGTCTTTGTATCAGAAGGACTTGCTTTATAGCATGTTTTATGATGCATCTGTACTAGTGATTAATTTTTTCATAATTTCTGTTTCTAAAGTCATTTTGTAGTCTTCATTTTTTAAGTTATTTTCACTAGGCATTAAATTCTAGGTTTACAATTCTGAGTTTTTTTGGTTTGGTCATTTTAAATATGTTATTCTATTCTCATATGTGCTGCTTCTAATTTTAAAATCTACAGCTATGCTTACCTTTTGGTTTTTCTTTGAAGAATTTTTCTTCAAGAGTGGTGCACCTGTAATTCCAACACTTGAGAGAGTGAACAGGAGTATCAAGAGTTTAAGGTGCACATAGCAAGACCCTCTCAAAAAACAAAAGAAAAAAATAATTTTGACTCATCTGATTATGATGTACCTTAGTTTAGTTTTGGTGTGTGTTTATTGGGATTATTGAGGGCTTTTTAAATTTGGATTTGGAGGTTTTAGCTGTTGTTTTTTTTAATCAGTGTCTTGTGTTTTTCACCAAACTTATTGACATTCTGGTCATGGTTTCTTCAGATATTTCTATTTTAACTTTTCTGCTCTGAGGAAATCTAACCACATATATATTAGACTGTATGAAGTTGTGCTGCAGCTTGCTCTACTTGTTTTTTTGGTTTTTGGGTTTTTTGGGGGGGTTGTTTGTTTTTTGGTCTTTTGAGTTAGAATCTCCCTGTAGCCCCTGTGGCCTGGAACTCACTATGTAGACCAGGCTGGCCTCAAAACTCACAGATCTGCCTTCCTCTGTCTCCCAAGTGCTGGAATTAAAGGCATGCACCACCATACCCAGTGGTTTTTTGTTTAATAATTCACTTTTCTATATATATATATTCTGGATAGTTCTATTACTACATCAGCCATCACATTCACTAATCTTTCTTCAGAGTATCTAATCTTGCCATTCTTTCCAGTGCATTTGCATCCCACACATTACAATTGTCACCTATAACAGGTTCTACTTGTGTCATTTATGTCTTTCATAGCTCTACTTTCAATATTCTTAATTCTCTTGTTTGTATCTATTTGGGGATGTTTTGAATTGATCTTTTTCTCTTATTATGGCTGATATTTTTCTACTTATGTGCTTGGTAATTTCTTTGTGCCACATTTGCAGATTTTAATTTTCTGGATGCCAGGTATTTTTGTATGCTATTTTCTCGAGCATTATTCTCAGGTAGAGTTATTTAGGAACAGTTTGAACTTTCAGATACTGTTTTGTCTGGCAAGAGCAGTGCTCAGTCTAGTGCTCTGTATTCTCCACTGGAGTACTCTATTCAGTGCCACGTGGATCTTGAAGCTGGTGAGAATCGTGCCTATGCCTATGATTCTTTCCTCAGCCTTGAGTAGTTTCTTCACCTACATGAGCTTGACTTTCTCCAGTGTGCTTCTCGAGGGAAAGCCTCTCAAGATCTCCAGAGTTGTCTCTGTGCAGCTCTCACATTGTGCTAGAAACTGTAGCCACCTTGGTTTCCTGGGTGTTTTGCATCAGCTGTTCAGCTCAGCCAGCCAAACTGCGTGAGTTTCTTCTCCTTGTACTGGAAGCTACCTAAACTCTCTCAAGGCAGTAAGCTCAGGCAGTTGTAGAACTCACCTCTATTTCCATCCATCCATGATAGATGGCTTTCTTGTCTAATTTTAGTCAAAACTGGTTTCCCTTTTGGCCATGCTTTGGTTCTTAACCCAGCCTTTAACTGTTCCTTGATTAGAAGCAGAAGTCCTCTTTGCTAATTTTAATACTAAATAGCAGCTTTTCAAAATTGTTTTAAAGTATCTTTATGTCATTGTTACTTCTCTTTTCAAATGAAAATGAAAAAAATATATGACCAGCCAATTTAAGCATAACTAAGATAAATATTGACAGGAATTACGTTGTCTTTTTAAATTCTAAGACTAGAATCCTCCCTAAATCCCCAGCAACTAGCCTAAGGATCTGCTCCAGTGCTCCTTTTCTGTAATCTCTCTCTTTTTTTTTTTTTTTTTTTTTTGTTTTTTTTGAACAGGGTCTCCCTTTAACCCCCGCTTTTTTG